AACCGCCCTGCGAAGTGTGGGACACTCTCACACGGTGACGATCAGGATCGTTTTGTTGGCGGTGATAAGAATCGCCCTGTCCAGCACTTTTATGGGTGTGCACTTGCGACGTGGCATGGGACAGCTGGGGCTGCGTCTTTTCACCGAGTCTCAACGAGACTGGTATTCTGTTTGGGATGCCGTCGGTGTTTGCTGGCCCTTTGGAGCCCGTGGGCTTGTTTTTTGCCATTTGCTTACCCTTTCGTCTATGCGTTGTAGTGCTCGTGGCACAGGCTATTTCCCTTTGCCGCGCTTTCGCGCGACCTACAGGCGTTTTTGGCGGTTGCACCACCGCAACTGACTTGGATGGCACACCTTGGTCCAAACGGTCCAACCTTCGATTGACCGTCTAGAGAGTATTGTCAAACCTCTCCAAGTAGCTTCTGATGGCGGGGTCAAGCTGTGAACTTGATGGGATATCCCCTGCAGCATTTTGCGGGGTTGAAGGTTTTTTGGAAGAAGTATCCCCCTGGACTTGAGGGAGCCCCTCAGCGCCTTGGTTGGTTTGCTCAGGTTTTGGTTGGCAGACCATTTGTTGTTGTAGGACTGGTAAGTTGGAGATTCTCCTGATGAAGGATGAACACCAAATCAGGCCCTCCTTCTAGCGCCAAACTGTTGATGCGTGATTTTTACACCAACAAAACACACGTGTGAAATGTTAGGCTGGCCCAAAAGACACACGTGAATGTAACGAAAAATGACAGTAAACGTAATGGGAATAGTTTTTAAAGTGGTTTGGATGCTAAGGTAGCAAGTCTTACGTCCACTGATGTTTGTATTAATGATAAGGGTCAGGTTGCGTTAGCGGACTGACTTACAAATGATTTACAAAATGATAATACGAGAGAGAGAAAGCTGTATATCTTTGAGAGAGAATAGCTAATCAAGAATAATAATGAGCGAATCCCTTTAATGAGAGAGGAACTCTCAATTTATAGCGGGATGCGTTAAGGTAATGATCACTGAATCTGTAAGTTGGTAGGATTATCCGTGCAAATCCTTCTTTATGCCACATTGCCCACCTTCCAGAGTGATTTGCGCGATTTAGAGCATGGATTGGACATGTGAGATCATCACAGCTTCTGGCTGGCCTGACATGCACCCACTATTCTGACGAAAGCAGGCTGTGGGTATACTCATGATGTGACTCTTGCAGGTTGACTGGATTTAGGCATAACATATCTCAACTTGTTGAATGACTTCTTTAGCCTTATTAAATAATTATTTAGACAAAAATACCCCATATATAATAATAATAATAATAATACTAATAATCATAATAAATGACACTTAATCATTTTTTATTTTTTTCATTAAAGTTACCATTGCATCCAAAAACTATTTCTAAAAATATTTTACCTCATTTCTACCAGACTCATTTTCGTAAAATTTGTAATTTGTTGTAACCTTTGTTTATAAAGAAACTAATATGTAAATTTTATCAATAATGTTTTGTTACAATTGAGCCATACAAACTGACAAACAGATAAAAATTGCACAAAATTTATGTACAATGATTACTCTATCTTTTATTTTTTGTCTGTTTGTATACTCAATCGTAAGTATAGCATTGCTCAAATTTTATATCAAACAAGCCTTACCCTAAACAATTACGAGGTTCACTATACTAACAACTTTTTCATACAACTTTGATGTGACAATTCACGATTGGTTAGCTCGTAATAGGTTCTATTTGCCCAAATACAAACTGATCAATCGCAAGTTATCAACTTAGGATTGTATAAAAAAATTGTAAGTTTAGTTTTATTGAACAATTATTCTTCTTAAATACTGTAATAAAAAAATGCTACACCCACAACCTGTTCTTATAAACTTCCTTTTACAACTTTGATGTGATAACTCGTAATTAATTAAGTGACAATAGATCCCATCTGAGTCCTTTCTAATAAATTGAATCTGACCATATCAAGATTGTAAGAAAAAATTTATGACAAAAAATTGTGGGTGTAACATTCTCTACTATAATAATAACAAAATACATTAAAAACATAACATATAAAAGTAAAACTTATAATAATAAAAAATATCTTATTGAACACGGTCAAATATAACATCAAAGTCCAACAACATTAGTGATTACCACATTCTACATCAATGCCATTTGTTATAGAAATAGGTCTGTAACGGTCACAGTAATACAAAACCCAGACCCGGACCCGAACCCATGATACCATCAAACCCAATGGGCCGAAATGTCATTCAGACTATTTATGCTATACCTGAAATGTTACTTTATATTTCTGCTGTTTACTTTTCAAAGTAGCAGACATAAAATCCCATAATATTTAAAGCTTTCAGAAGCCAACAGCAGAAAAAATGAAATTTTTTCAACATAAAAGAGATTATATACAACCAAATTCAGACAACAATTTTCATACCACACTCTGCATGCAGATAATTTGTCACAGCAGATTGTTAAGATTTAATCCCAATGTACAAGTTAGATATTCACCCGGGATATGCTAAAAACTTGCCAATTTTTTATGCTATGAGGATATATCTACATAAGACATAGTTTTAACCCCAACTGACAGAGTCAACAAGAAACCTTGGTAGTATTTTTGTGCTATTAATGGGATTAGTCATCCTCCCGTGGATCAAAATCCTTAACCTTCACATCTGCGTCTTCTCCGAACTGGATGCAGTTGTCAATTTGATTCAATACAGTATTGCGACGTGGCATGGGACAGCTGGGGCTGCGTCTTTTCACCGAGTCTCAACGAGACTGGTATTCTGTTTGGGATGCCGTCGGTGTTTGCTGGCCCTTTGGAGCCCGTGGGCTTGTTTTTTGCCATTTGCTTACCCTTTCGTCTATGCGTTGTAGTGCTCGTGGCACAGGCTATTTCCCTTTGCCGCGCTTTCGCGCGACCTACAGGCGTTTTTGGCGGTTGCACCACCGCAACTGACTTGGATGGCACACCTTGGTCCAAACGGTCCAACCTTCGATTGACCGTCTAGAGAGTATTGTCAAACCTCTCCAAGTAGCTTCTGATGGCGGGGTCAAGCTGTGAACTTGATGGGATATCCCCTGCAGCATTTTGCGGGGTTGAAGGTTTTTTGGAAGAAGTATCCCCCTGGACTTGAGGGAGCCCCTCAGCGCCTTGGTTGGTTTGCTCAGGTTTTGGTTGGCAGACCATTTGTTGTTGTAGGACTGGTAAGTTGGAGATTCTCCTGATGAAGGATGAACACCAAATCAGGCCCTCCTTCTAGCGCCAAACTGTTGATGCGTGATTTTTACACCAACAAAACACACGTGTGAAATGTTAGGCTGGCCCAAAAGACACACGTGAATGTAACGAAAAATGACAGTAAACGTAATGGGAATAGTTTTTAAAGTGGTTTGGATGCTAAGGTAGCAAGTCTTACGTCCACTGATGTTTGTATTAATGATAAGGGTCAGGTTGCGTTAGCGGACTGACTTACAAATGATTTACAAAATGATAATACGAGAGAGAGAAAGCTGTATATCTTTGAGAGAGAATAGCTAATCAAGAATAATAATGAGCGAATCCCTTTAATGAGAGAGGAACTCTCAATTTATAGCGGGATGCGTTAAGGTAATGATCACTGAATCTGTAAGTTGGTAGGATTATCCGTGCAAATCCTTCTTTATGCCACATTGCCCACCTTCCAGAGTGATTTGCGCGATTTAGAGCATGGATTGGACATGTGAGATCATCACAGCTTCTGGCTGGCCTGACATGCACCCACTATTCTGACGAAAGCAGGCTGTGGGTATACTCATGATGTGACTCTTGCAGGTTGACTGGATTTAGGCATAACATATCTCAACTTGTTGAATGACTTCTTTAGCCTTATTAAATAATTATTTAGACAAAAATACCCCATATATAATAATAATAATAATAATACTAATAATCATAATAAATGACACTTAATCATTTTTTATTTTTTTCATTAAAGTTACCATTGCATCCAAAAACTATTTCTAAAAATATTTTACCTCATTTCTACCAGACTCATTTTCGTAAAATTTGTAATTTGTTGTAACCTTTGTTTATAAAGAAACTAATATGTAAATTTTATCAATAATGTTTTGTTACAATTGAGCCATACAAACTGACAAACAGATAAAAATTGCACAAAATTTATGTACAATGATTACTCTATCTTTTATTTTTTGTCTGTTTGTATACTCAATCGTAAGTATAGCATTGCTCAAATTTTATATCAAACAAGCCTTACCCTAAACAATTACGAGGTTCACTATACTAACAACTTTTTCATACAACTTTGATGTGACAATTCACGATTGGTTAGCTCGTAATAGGTTCTATTTGCCCAAATACAAACTGATCAATCGCAAGTTATCAACTTAGGATTGTATAAAAAAATTGTAAGTTTAGTTTTATTGAACAATTATTCTTCTTAAATACTGTAATAAAAAAATGCTACACCCACAACCTGTTCTTATAAACTTCCTTTTACAACTTTGATGTGATAACTCGTAATTAATTAAGTGACAATAGATCCCATCTGAGTCCTTTCTAATAAATTGAATCTGACCATATCAAGATTGTAAGAAAAAATTTATGACAAAAAATTGTGGGTGTAACATTCTCTACTATAATAATAACAAAATACATTAAAAACATAACATATAAAAGTAAAACTTATAATAATAAAAAATATCTTATTGAACACGGTCAAATATAACATCAAAGTCCAACAACATTAGTGATTACCACATTCTACATCAATGCCATTTGTTATAGAAATAGGTCTGTAACGGTCACAGTAATACAAAACCCAGACCCGGACCCGAACCCATGATACCATCAAACCCAATGGGCCGAAATGTCATTCAGACTATTTATGCTATACCTGAAATGTTACTTTATATTTCTGCTGTTTACTTTTCAAAGTAGCAGACATAAAATCCCATAATATTTAAAGCTTTCAGAAGCCAACAGCAGAAAAAATGAAATTTTTTCAACATAAAAGAGATTATATACAACCAAATTCAGACAACAATTTTCATACCACACTCTGCATGCAGATAATTTGTCACAGCAGATTGTTAAGATTTAATCCCAATGTACAAGTTAGATATTCACCCGGGATATGCTAAAAACTTGCCAATTTTTTATGCTATGAGGATATATCTACATAAGACATAGTTTTAACCCCAACTGACAGAGTCAACAAGAAACCTTGGTAGTATTTTTGTGCTATTAATGGGATTAGTCATCCTCCCGTGGATCAAAATCCTTAACCTTCACATCTGCGTCTTCTCCGAACTGGATGCAGTTGTCAATTTGATTCAATACATATCGTATACTGCAATAGAAAAGAAGCCAATAATGGTCATTATTTGTATGAAAAATCAACAAAAAAACTGCTTAAAGTTCACCTTTAGCCCCTCCATCACATGAATGACTTTCCAAGTTCATATAAAATTTTAAAACAATATGATCAGGCTTAAAACATGATAGTAAAAGCAAAAGAGATTAGGTCCGGTATTCTCTTTTTGGCCATTCAAGGCAACAGGTATATTAAACCAACCGCAAACCAAATCTTGCAATAAAAATAGCATTACTGGAAAGATTTGTATTATTCCGGCTATGGTTAATCATCATCTATCCATTGCAGATAATAATTTCTTAAAACAATGTTATCAAAATCACTAGCAAATTCTAAAGAGGAACTTTTCGACTAGCAAAAGAGGATATTGAGAGTCATGCATATAGGCTCTTGAAGCATTATCTCCCCAACCAAAGACATGAGAGATAGAGAAATTACCTGCTCTGCTTCCTCAAGTCAAGTGGCACAAAACTAACCATGCTATACTCATCCACCTAATACAACAAAAATCATATGAATCAAGCAATCCTCATCAAAGGTCAAACAAGAGATGCGTTTTATTTCCAGAAAATAGACATGTCATTGTGCAACCAGTGGCAGCTGAAAAACACAACATAATGCATGATTTTCAACACTTCTGAGTAGATATGAAACCAAAATACTGATATGTACAATCTCCTGTGTAAATGTATAGTGTATATAGTTTTCTCAGTAACAGAAGAAATGCAACAGATCAAACAACCATATCATATCGACAATTTTAACATGACAAACAAAATGTGAAATGAAATCCTAATGCTAACTATGAACTAAGTTAAACACTATATAAATAAAAATATTCTTTCAACAGATTATCATCAACAACAGGTAGGTGCGATAGTTGGGAGACAGACATATAGTGAATTCAGTTTTCAGAAGACAGGAAGGGACAGCCAAATTATCAAGTCAGTTTAAAAAGGTAAAACACAAAGCAAAAACACATATTTGAGATATTTTTTCTGAAAGATGTGGTGTATTCAAAGACATAGGCTATAAGAATGTGCAAAGTAAAATTCAAACTATCAAAACTATCCTATTGATTCAGTGAAAGGAATCATGAAAATTCATCTTGAAAAATCGAAAAGAATATAAATATTGGTCTTTGCAGTCTCAGTTACTTACCAGTTCAATTAGAGCTTTATTTAGCTTGGCAAACTGGGGAGCCATCCGTTTATTCAACTCCGACAACAAAACATGAGATTCTGGATTCAAGTAGCTACGAGCAGAAAAGATATGTTAAGGAAAAAACAAAAAAAGAACTAAATGAAGTAAAGGAGCAGCAAAGTTTAAGAAGCCTACTTTTCAATTTCTCTTTTGTCTGTCACGAGGTCCATTTTAGAAAGGATATTAACATGGGGTAATTCAAGTTGGACCATTGCAGAAAGAGATGCCATGCACCCACTTATAAACTTGGTGACATCAGTGATGAACTGATACAGATAAAATAGCAAACTCTAAGCAGGGTGCATAAAAAAAAATTATTACAATGGAATGGGAAAGAGGGAGAACTTATACAAACCTGCGAATCAAGCAAGTACACTGCACAGACATTAAAATTTTTACGCTTCAAATGATCCACAAAGTTCCGAAGCATTGGCACATGAGAGAAAAGTTCTATCTGGCCTATCAAGTATTTTACAGTTAGGAAAAGTCTAAACTGATTTTCCACAAGAAGAAACACAGATAATAAAATTGGAAGACTAAATACTCCCACCATATTCCATCATAGTACAAGGAAGAACGCATATGAAACTCCAAAAATTCATAGTTAGAAACACAGAACATATTGTTGCTAAAGTAAAAAGAGAAAAATACAACTCCAAGCTATTTTAAAGCTCTCCCCAAATAATGCACTTGAATAGGGATAGAATGCTGAATTTAGAATTAACATTAGATTAACAAAATAAGGCAGTGGAGGGTGCTCTCCATATTCTAGCAGCATCAAGGCAAACCACTACGACAAGCCTTTTTCTCAGTCAGAGTTAGATGTTCTCATTCAATCAAAATTACAGAATAGAAACACCTAATTCTTTTCTCCCACCAATTAATTTCAACAATGTCAAAAATATATGGAAATTCATGCACACTCTGAGAAGTAGTAGTACCTGGACAATCAAAAACTAGATAGTCATCCTCCATATAATGCTCCAATTCTTCTTCCAACCAGTCATCCAGATTATCTTCCAAATGTCTATGCGTGGACATTAAGGCCACTCATTTCCAGAATAAAAATTATACAATAAAAAGTAGTTCTTCAAATAATTAAATGAAATTTAGTTCTCCATTTATCCTTCAAAAATAATACTATAAACAGAGCCCACAACAACATGTCAGACTTGATACAATAATTAAGTCATAAAAATCCAAAGGTTTAAGTCCTTAACCACAAATAATGATCCAATAGCAACTACACAAGAGGAGATAGAGGGATCCTACAGAGGAAGGTAATAAAAAGGATACTCCATGCAGTATAACAAGCCACCATTGGGACCCAATCCAAGCTCCTCCATCACATCTTCCAGAGAAACAAGTTCTCTAATATCTACAAGAAAAATAAATACACCACTCTGAAACTAAAGAACATATCTTTCCGCAAACTTACCACATAATCAGCAAATATATGCAATAAATTTACCCATAGCTACAGGATAGTCAAAATTTTCTGCAGCAGGATCCAGATTCACAATATGTATTGAACGCTGAGCATTTTCGCAGTATTGATACAAACTCGAGCAGTAAGTTGACTGTTATGAAAAGAAAGACACATGGTCACTGGAGTGTAGAAGCCACCATGTAAATAGTAATTCATTGCATAAATAACCAAAATACTAAAGAATTCTCTAAAATCAAAATCTACAAAATACCTAGAATCACAATGCAAGAACCCAAATATTCTCACTTACCTTTCCACTGCCAGCAGGGCCAATAACTAGTTGTGCATAGCCCATGGTAGTTTCTGAAACTGCTTTGCTAACTCAACATAAACCGAGAAAGCTGAAAAAACATAAAAAAAAAGAAAAAGAAAAGACAAGTGAACAACAACATTAGAGAGCCTGAATTAACAATAAGAAGAAGAATACCACGATTGTGCACAATGTTAACTGGGTTAATTGGTAACAGTCATTTACATTGTTAAACGTAGAACACCTTATTCGTTAAATTCAAAATCAAATTAATAACAAAATATCAATTGCAAGTTTGCAACAAACTGTCATATTTGCAAAATTTACCATCAAATTAGCAACATATTTTTAGTATCAATTACCAAGTAACTGCCAAACCGGTCTCACCATTTTCACATTATAACAATCAATAATGCTCCATACGTTTTATATCCCTTCATATTCTTAAAAAGGGCTTTTTATTTCATTATTTAACATAACACCGAAAATCATGCCCAATAAAATAAAACCCAGTTAATAATATCATAGTTAACAATATAATACTTAGTGCCGTATAAATCATTTAAAGTTTTAAACATTAGAGAAATATGATCTTCACTACAGAGAATCGACATGCTTAAACTTTAAAATAAAAAGAAAAAGAAAGAATTTTTTTTCACTGACCAGGATTCTGCGCCTCTGCGCTGACAGGAGAGTTGAAGCGACTTCTCCCAAGCTCTTGAAGTTCACAGAATCTTGATTTGTAGGGTTTAGGGTTTGGTGGGGATGAAATGGATTTTTTCGGTTAAACCCGGCAGGAGACTCCCCTTGAAGCTAACAATCTTGGACAGGCCCAAGGCAAAACAAAAGAAGCCGCAAGCAAAAACAAAGTAAAAAAAACAAAGCCCACTCAAAGCAGGCCGAAACAAGCACAAAGCAAGAAGAGGCTGAAGGAAGCCCAAAAAACCAAACAAGATCAGCTCGCGCCAAAAGTCCAGGACCGCTGCAAGTCCAGTGCAGAAGCCCGCAAGTCCAGAATAGAAGCCCACCAGTCAAGACTGGAGCCCTTCAAAAGTAAGGGTATTCATGAGCTGAGCCGAGTTTTCGGCTTAGTGAGCTTGGCTCATGAAATGGGAAGAAAAAACAAGCCCAGCTACAGGTTTTATGACTCGGGTTGGCTCGTGAGGGATACATGGGTTTTCCGAGCTGGCTTCATGAGCCGAGTTTGGGCCGGCTCGTGAGCTAGCTAGAAAAAATCAAATTTAAAAAAAAAAATTGTTGGGCAGTGGGCATGCAGATTGCAATTTTTTTCTTCTCATATCCTAATACATCATCCAACAACTAAACCTGTTTAAAATAAACATCAAATAAAATGCTAATGCTGCTAACAATTTATCATTCAGCATATTGTATCTATGAAAAATTAAGTAAACTAATTTTTGTTTAGCTCACTTGATTTAATTAAGTTTTCATCAAAATAAAATGGGGGTCAGCATAACTATACATCAAATGACATCCCCAACCATCAAAATATATATATAACAACAAAATAAAATGTATAAATTGTCGAATGACTCGAATCCTCAAAAGATAATTGGCTGTATGTCCATTATAACCCAACTCCTCGTACAAACATATTAAAATGAAACACATTAAGTAGAATTGTCATTTTATATAAACCGTAAAGATAAAAATGCAAACCTAAACACAAAACTAATAAATGTAGACCTACAGAATCCTACTGCCATGACCAATGACTCACATATGAATCAACCAATCTGCTAACTCCCATCACTTGACAGGACAGGAAGCTGAATCTCCAAGTGATCCTCCTCTTTCTAAAATGAAAAAGAGATAAAAATAAACTGTAGGTTAAAATAAAGTAATTTTAAATATTGAATTAAACAAAAAATATAATCAATGGAACTTGCTTTGCACCATTTCTTCTCTTCATTCAAAGTGTGACACCAGTCACACCCACATAACAACATCTTCATCGTAGCTAGAGTAAAAAAAGCTCGGTAGCTATCATTAACCCTACTCCCATCACTGAATGCAGACTCTAAAGCAACCGTAGTGATCGGGATAACTAGTATCTCACTAGCCATTGTAGACAATATAGGGTACTTGGGTTGAATTTGCCTTCCACCACTATAAGGCATCGAATGAGTCATGATCTCCCACACACTTATGGCACCCCTCTCCCAAATAACAGTCCAACTCAGACTTACTAGGCTCAACAGTTTCAAACACGTCTAGAAAACTGCTAAAATTATCCTAGGCCTAGGCTTCCTCAATCGTAGCCACCTTACCAATGGCTCCATGTCCATTCCCTTCTAATGTAGAAGCACGGGCGATAGTCACACCTTGATTAGCTTGAATATACTCCCCATATAACTCATACAATGCATCTCGGACCGTCATCATATTTGCCTGCGCTTCTAACTCATAATACATCTTAGGGAATGCCCACTGAATAATCCTCATTTTCATCCAAGGATCCAATACAACAGCCATAGACATCAACACATTACATTCCCCCTAACTTTTATTGAACTTCTTCTTCATTTTCCTAACCATTACTCTAATAAAATCATCTTCAGATTCACTTTTACTATCCAACATACATTTCACTATACACACCTCCTTCAGGAATAAATTAGACGTCCGATAATCACTCCCTGAAATGAGTTTGGTTGAACCACTGAATACTTTTAAAATGTTGCAGACTTTCTCTACTTTTGAACTTAATTGCCGTTGCCAACATTTCATAGGTAGAATTGCACCTTGTTTTACAATGGAGAATAAGTTTCCGATACGACAGTTTAAGTTGTTAAACAATCTTAGAAAATACCTTAAGCCTACTTTCTGAATTGTTGATATACAACACACTCTCATGAATGTCATCAATGATATGCCTAATTTGATAAAGTCCATCCTGAACAATCAGGTTCAAGATGTATGCACAACATCTTACATGAAACAGTTTACCTCCATAGAGGAGTTTCCTCGAAACTTCAAAAATTTCCTTCAAAACCTTAATCGCAACATCATTACTTGAAGCATTATCCACAAAAATAGTATATACCTTATTTTCAATTTCCCATCCCATTAGACAGTTGAAAATGTTGTCCGCAATCGCAATACCAATCCGGGGAGGAGGTAGATGAACAAAGTTGAGGATACGTCTATTTAGCCTCCAAGTACTATCTATCCAATGCCTGGTCAATACCATATTCTCCATCTTCTGATTCCCTGAATTCCATAAGTCTGTAGTCAAATTGATTTTTGTCACACTCTTCAACAAAGTCTTCAATTTGGCTTTCTCACTTTCATATACCTTCATACAATCTTTTTTACAAGTATGGCGGGAAACCGGAGTCCATTCAAGAATCCCATACTTCATCATATTGTTTAAGCCCTCTTCCTCCACAACAGTAAATGGATGCTTATGCATGAGCACCCAATGGGCGATAAGTTTCCTCATCTTCAACATATCAAACTTCCCTAATGGTACTAAAAAGGCAGAGTGTATCCATTGTAAAGTAAAGCTGTGTATTAATGCCACCGGAAGCACCACCTAGTTTAATAGACATTTAAATCGATGTTTAAGGAGAAAAGCTTCCATGAGGCAACAACATATTAGTTTTTCGAGTGCCGATAAAACCCAGTTTAATAGACATTTAAGCTGGTGTATAAGGAGAAAAACTTCTATGAGGCAACAACATATTAGTTTTTCGAGTGCTGGTAATGATGTTGCAACTACTATTTTGCTAGCTTTAAGTGGGAAGTTTGACATGTTGAAGATAAGGGAACTTATCGCCATTTTCTAGGCTACTAATACTTTGCTCCGTACTTCTTGTGGTTGCATTCAAGTTATTGGTAATTGTATTTTGCATTGTAAGGGTGCTTAGGAAGTACCCTCCATTTACAAATCTATAAATGATAATANGGTCTTTTTGACTTTGTACTTTGTTGTTTCTAGGAACAATAATTTTAGTAGACAGGTTAGGTTTAGGTTTAATACTAGGCAGGAAAATTTGAGAAATTGAATAGGAAAATTGTTTAATGGCCTGGCATGTGATGACATTGTGTATCCTTAACCCATTTAAACCTGAATCCAAATTCTATAACATGAATTGGTAACTCTAATTTGGGAGAGTTTTGGTGCCCGAGTTTAGAGAATGTTTTGCAAGAAAGTGGGAACATTAGTAGAGAGAACCAGATTATTAGTTGCTGCATATTGCAATCTGAATATCTTGCTGATGTACATCCTTAATCTGTATCATTTAGACAAGCAGAAGTATGCTATCTTTCCTTAAAAATAAATTGTGTTATTATGTGACTTTTTTTATGCAGGTTCTGTGTAGCAGAAGTTCTCCTTGCTCTGTAATACCTCCATATGCTTGGGATTGTTTACTGGAACCTTAAGCCAGAAAATTTTCTTGCAGGGGAAGATGTACATATAATGCTTTCTGACTTTGATCTTTCCCTTCAATATTTTTGGAATCTTGTCATTTGGTTTTTGAATTTTGTTATTGAATTTGTAATCATTTGTAAACTAATTGTTTGATGGAAGTGTTAAAGGATTTAGCTCTGTATTCAATATTTGTGCTATTGCGCAGTTATTGGGATTTATGACGAACCGTTCCACCCAGGATCCGGTCACTCAACTGGGTCATTGACTAGGGTTGGGATTTAAAACCTTAGCTTTTAATCAAACATTAGGTAGTATATGAAATATTTCTTCAATATTACACTTCCCCAATAACTCATGTATGGGCTATGTGTGTTGAGTGATGATACTGTTTTTTCTTTTGACAAACTCATTGCTATAAACCATTAAGATTTTAAAACTTACTCGGTCAAATTTGAATTCGGCTTAATATCATTGATCTCTTGAATGCAATAAAAGAATTAATATATTGTAAATAGCCTGGAATTTTTTTTGATTTTTGAGACTTTGTTTGGTTTTTGAGTAGATTAATGTGGAAAATTAACATATCTCCTTATTTGCAGCCCCCAATTGATCAAGTGTATAGTTCTTTTACTTTGTAGAAGTAGAACTCAATTTTATTTTTTCTCTATGTTTAATTAATTCATTTTGAAGTTAGAGCTTGATTACATTGCCAAATAATGATAATAATTTTTTTTATACGTTAAAGGAAAAAGCATATATTATATATATAGTCATAAAATCATAATGTTACATGCATTCAATCAACAACACAACATGCAAACTTTGATATGAAGGTGTAGACTAATTTCGTTATTGCTTGTTGTGTGTTAAGAAAGAGATAAAGACAGAAAATGTCATCATCTAGGTGTAGGAAAACTCTATGTTAGATGAAGATTGTGAAGAATCTCTCCATTTCCAATGCCCATGAATGAAGATGCTACTGGCAGTAAAAAACAATGTACAATGACAAACAATGCAAAAGAAATAGACCTCGGGATGGTGATTATTTTGCTCCAAGTACACTCTGGGTCTCAACCCTCAATTAAGAGTGTTTTACATGGAAAAGAAGCACGTGGAGAGCAGACATGGTTGTTGCAGTTTTTTTGATGCTTGCATCCATTTAATGCTAAATTCAATTTATTTTTAGCCTTTGTGGATGCTATAATGCAGTTGGTCCTGGGTATAAAGCCTAACTTATCATGCTATGCGTGGAAATTTACTAGAGATGCTAAGAAGGAAGTCCAGTTATTTGTGATAGTTATAGGAACACTTGGAAAGATGTTGGATGTACATTAATAGCTGATGGTTGGACTGATAATTCACATAGGTCACTAATTAATTTCTTGTGTATTGTCCTAAAGGAGTTTGCTTTGTGAAATCAGTGAATGTTCGATGTTGTAAATGATGCTGAGACATTGTTCAACTTGTTTGAGGAAATATTTTTATGGATTGGACCAATTAATATTGTCCATGTTGTCACTGACAATGGATCAAATTATAAGGCTGCTGGAAGAATGTTGTGTGAGAAATATAACAATATACTTGGTCGCCTTGTGCAGCACATTGCTAAATTTGATGTTAAAAGATATAGCTGAGATGGATCATGTAGTTTGCCTTACGAAACGTGCTCTAAGTGACAAAGTTTGTGTATAATCATACATTCCTATAGCTTGGTTGAGGAAAAACAGGGTTGGAAAGAAATTGTACGCCCGGGCGTAACCTGTTTTGCTACAACTTTCATTGTATTAGAAACCTTAATGAGCACAAACATGACTTGCAAGCTATGGTGACAAATAGATTTTTGTGGATTCTCGATATGCAAAAGTAATAAAGGCAAAGATGTTATTTCCATAATCTAAATAACGAATTCTGGGATGATATGGGTATGGTTTCCAAAGTCGTGGGTCATTGATGCGTTTGTTGCAGATTGTAGGCTCATATGAGAGGCCTAATAGGATATGTGTATGATGCATGTATAAAATGAGATGGGGATCAAGAAGTTGTTTAAGAATAAGAGAAATTGTCAAACCTTATACAAGAATGATTAAGCTGCATGGGATAGGATGTTGCGTTGTGATATTCATGCGAGCTTTATTTGAATCAACTTTTCAATATAACCGTGCATCTTTTAGTACCAAACCAGAGGTCATGCGTGGTCTCCTTGATATTATGAGAGTAAAGCAAGGTGCTCAATGTGAGTAAGTCACATTAGTGAAGGAGAGTAGAATATTTCAAGATCGTGAGAAATGCTTTTCGTGAGCTTGCTTTGAAACCTGCAAAACCACACGACCTGGTATGTAATAGTTATTAAATTTCTGAGTTTTAAGTCTGATTTTTGAGTTATGAACTATGTTTAATTTTAATAGATGAACGGTGGAGAACATTTGGGTATAGTACTCAAATTTCAGAAGCTTGCGATAAAAATTAAGCCAAACTTCAACCTGTTCGGGATATGAGCGAAATTGGAGTGTTTTTGAACGCATACATTCTAAAAAGAGGAATAGATTGGAATATCAACGGTTGAATGATCTTGTTTTTTTCATTATAATTTGCGTTTGCAAGACAGTATAAAACATTGGCAATTTGCATTACTCTTTTTCTTTTATCTCTTATTTCCTTGATATTTTTATTTGTCATGCTTAATATTTAATGTGGTCTTTTAGGAGGTGTTGCAAGAAAATGAGTTTTGATCCTATTGATTATGAAAGTATCGATAAAACTGAGCTTGGATAGTTGACGATGAAGAGAAGGTTGGTGAACTTAATTATGATGAATTGGAGCAAACATTATATGAGAAGGATCTATTCCTGTTAATGTTGGTGATCACTCTTCTTATTATGATTCAACAGATGTTTCACAAGGTTGTTTTCAAATTTTAAATAATTTCGTAGCTATTTAAATTAAGTAGTTTAAAAGAAGTTTCAACTTATGATTTTCATTTTTTGTTGAAATTTTTGTAGATGATGATGATGATGATGATGATCAGTGAGATGATGGCATGTGAAGTTTAATTAAGTATGGATTGAAGATTATTGGGTGAAGCAAGTATGTTTTTATTTTAAATTTATGTTTAATTACACGTCACAGTGACTTATACCAGCTATTAAAGTCTTCAAAAGCTCCCATTTAAGGGTTTTTTGAGAAAAGGAAGCAATTGCAGTCAAGCGTCAGCGAGAGTTGAATGGGTTTAACGGTGGTGAGTTTGCGACGAAAATCTGGCAAAAAAGATGGTGTTGACGGTGACTAGAATCTGTGCTGCCGATTTTTGGGTTTGGGAATACTTTTATGGCAAAATGTCAACTGTCGACATTTTAGAGATTTTAAAATCGAGGGGAGTTTTGTCATTTTCAAAAACTTTTATTCTAAAATTTTCATTTTAATCCCCTATACTTTAGAAAACCCCCAAAACCCCTCCAGCTTTTTTGAGTCAGGCTTGGCTCGCGAGCCTAGCGAGCATGGCTCGAACTCGGCTTGTTATCTCTCATGAATCGAGCCGTCGATATCAGATGAGCCAAGCCGAGTCGGCTCGCGAGCGGCTTAGATCGTTAACCACTCCTATTCAAAAGTAGAAAGTAAAAGTGTCAGTCCATGCATGTAAGCCCAACCACAATGAAGGCTTCTATGAAAAATGTTGGTGCTATTCCGAAGGCCCAGTTGGAGCCAAACTCGTGGTTTTAAAACCTGGACTGAAAACCAATGTTAAATCTGATCTATTGAATAGTAAAAACTTATTTTAACTATTGAACCAGATTGACTTGAGGAACCGACAACAACAATATTGAACTGCGGTTCATCTGTCGGATCAAAAAATCGATGACTAAATCGGGTTATTGAAATGTAATTTCAATATTTTCATTTTTCAATTTCAAATGAAATACCTAATTCACTCTCCTTGACAAAGAAATTTTTTACCATTGGACTATATCTTTGTATTTTTTTTTCTTTCAAATGTTTAGAGAATATTTAGACAGAGTTAGGCCAGATACTCCATGCCGGTGGTTGCTTCAAACACCACCAAACCAATTAAGCCGATTTCTTTTATTCATGTATATTAATATATTAATATCATTTATTGTTAATTAGATAATTTTAATATTTTATTCTATTTCTATATATTTTTATTAGAATCCCATTTTAATTAATTTATTAAAATGATCTAATTTCGGTTATTATTATTATTATTATTTTTTTTTTTCATTCGAAGTTTGACCCCTCCGTCTAATTTTTTTTCACACCGCCGCAGCCGCATTTCCCTCTTCACTCCGCGACGCCGCCACTCCGCGACTTCGACTCGGTCACCGTTGAATTGGTAAGTCATTAGACTCGACTCCGTTGAACCAGAACGATTTGCCTGAAAATCGCATTCTGTTTTAATATAACCTTTTATCATCATTAATCTATGAAAAATCTCCTAAATTAGCACGATTACTATGATCCTGCTGACCATATAAGATTGAACTATTATGAAATGCATTCTTACAGTTCGGCCATTAGCGGTGCTTCATAAATTAGAAAGTATTAATATGGAGCCCCCTCATTGTCCTAGAAAGAGAGAAAAATGGTGTCTTTTATCAAGTTATTTTGAATTTTTGACAATACTTAGTCTTTTCCAGTGTTGGATGTTCATACTTATAGCTTGTACTTAGTTAATTTCGTAACATGGAAAAATAAGGAAGCAGAAGCACAATTGGCTACCTCACATTGGAGAAAAAAAATCCATTCTTTCTGTTTGTGGATAAAACAAATGTGTTATCATTACTTAGCTAATGTAACAAGGTCCGAAAGTTGTTTTACTCTTTAGAAATCTTTCTGCATGTAAACTTCATGCTGAAACTTGTCTTCAAAATGCCTCATCGAGTGGGGAAGAGCCAATATGTGTTCACATGTTTCTCTGTTTTCTTTTTGTGCTATTTGACTTGGTTAATTTATCTGAAATAGTTAGTGACTGAGTGACTTGACTTATAAGCTAGTAAAAACTATCGGATAGTGCTTCTATTATATTAAGAACCTCCCTATTGTTGTTCTTCTGCAACCTGTGTTATTCATTAAACTGAAAATCCTCTGTTAATTGGTGCAGAAGTTTTAAGGAATGCCCTTCCGTTTGTAGTCAAAATCTAACAGAACTTGTTGGTAATACTGTCATTCTTTATGAAGCACTATTATGTGACTATGGATAGCATGTTTAGTTTCTTTACTTGCATGGAAGGGTCAAATTGCTTTTAAATGGTATATATTCTTTGGTTTTGTTTACTGAAAGCACTTTGTTGATCATCCAATACTGATTTCCTCAGTTGGCATGTGAGCTGTACTTATCGTAACATTTTAAGTTTTAAAAGCTTTCAAAAGATTTAATTCCAACCTTTATGATAGTTTAAGAGGTTGACTGAGTTCGGGTTTATACAATTCAAAGAAGTGAATATTAAACTTTTAAATTCCAGCATATTGTTAATATGAAAATTTTGGCCAAGATTTACCAGATCCCAAAATCATATTTAGTTGAATTGGGCAAAAGGCTAGAGGCAATAATCTAATTAGCATGATATCTATACACTATATAGTATATCATGCCAAATTTTCATTAACAACCACAGACTCTAGAACATTGATATAATTTGGTGGAAAATTCGATCCTGAATGGCAATAAAAAGAATTAATATAATTGTAAATAGCCTGGAATTTTTTTTTGATTTTTGAGCAACTTTGTTTGGTTTTTGAGTAGATTAATTGTGGAAAATTATACATATCTCCTTATTTTGCAGCCCCCAATTGATCAAGTGTATAGTTCTTTTACTTTGTAGAAGTAGAACTCAATTTTATTTTTTCTTCTCTATGTTTAATTAATTACATTTTTGAAGTTAGAACTTGATTACATTGCCAAATAATGATAATAATAATTCTTTATACTGTAAAGGAAAAAGCATATATATATATATATATAGTCATAAAATCATAATGTATACATGCATTCAATCAACAACCACAACATGCAAACTTTTGATATGAAGGTGTAGACTAATTTCGTTATTGCTTGTTGTGTGTTAAGAAAGAGATAAAGACAGAAAATGTCATCATCTAGGTGTAGGCAAAACTCTATGTTAGATGAAGATTGTGAAGAAATCTCTCCATTTCCAATGCCCATGAATGAAGATGCTACTGGCAGTAAAAAACAATGTACAATGACAAACAATGCAAAAAGAAATAGACCTATCGGGATTGGTGATTATTTTGCTCCAAGGACTACTCTTGGGTCTCAACCCTCAATTAAGAGTGTTTTACATGGAAAAGAAGTCACGTGGAGAGCAGACATGGTTGTTGCAAGATTTTTTTATGATGCTTGCATCCCATTTAATGCTATAAATTCAATTTATTTTTAGCCTTTTGTGGATGCTATAATTGCAGTTGGTCCTGGGTATAAAGCTCTAACTTATCATGCTATGCGTGGAAATTTACTGAGAGATGCTAAGAAGGAAGTCCAGTTATTTGTTGATAGTTATAGGAACACTTGGAAAGATGTTGGATGTACATTAATAGCTGATGGTTGGACTGATAATTCACATAGGTCACTAATTAATTTTCTTGTGTATTGTCCTAAAGGAGTTTGCTTTGTGAAATCAGTGAATGTCTCAGATGTTGTAAATGATGCTGAGACATTGTTCAACTTGTTTGAGGAAATATTTTTATGGATTGGACCAATTAATATTGTCCATGTTGTCACTGACAATGGATCAAATTATAAGGCTGCTGGAAGAATGTTGTGTGAGAAATATAACAATATTACTTGGTCGCCTTGTGCAGCACATTGCATAAATTTGATGTTAAAAGATATAGCTGAGATGGATCATGTAGTTTGCCTTACGAAACGTGCATCTAAAGTGACAAAGTTTGTGTATAATCATACATTCCTAATAGCTTGGTTGAGGAAAAGACAGGGTTGGAAAGAAATTGTACGCCCGGGCGTAACCTGTTTTGCTACAACTTTCATTGTATTAAGAAACCTTAATGAGCACAAACATGACTTGCAAGCTATGGTGACAAATAGATTTTTTGTGGATTCTCGATATGCAAAAAGTAATAAAGGCAAAGATGTTATTTCCATAATCCTAAATAACGAATTCTGGGATGATATGGGTATGGTTTCCAAAGTCGTGGGTCCATTGATGCGTTTGTTGCAGATTGTAGGCTCATATGAGAGGCCTGCAATAGGATATGTGTATGATGACATGTATAAAATGAGATTGGGGATCAAGAAGTTGTTTAAGAATAAGATGAAATTGTACAAACCTTATACAAGAATGATTAAGCTGCACTGGGATAGGATGTTGCGTTGTGATATTCATGCTGCAGCTTATTATTTGAATCCAACTTTTCAATATAACCGTGCATCTTTTAGTACCAAACCAGAGGTCATGCGTGGTCTCCTTGATATTATTGAGAGTAAAGCAAGTGTGCTCAATGTGAGTAAGTCAACATTAGTGAAGGAGAGTAGAATATTTCAAGATCGTGAGAAATGCTTTTCTCGTGAGCTTGCTATTGAAACCTGCAAAACCACACGACCTGGTATGTAATAGTTATTAAATTTCTGAGTTTTAAGTCTGATTTTTGAGTTATGAACTTATGTTTAATTTTTAATTAGATGAACGGTGGAGAACATTTGGGTATAGTACTCCAAATTTGCAGAAGCTTGCGATAAAAATTGTAAGCCAAACTTCAACCTGTTCGGGATATGAGCGAAATTGGAGTGTTTTTGAACGCATACATTCTAAAAAGAGGAATAGATTGGAATATCAACGGTTGAATGATCTTGTTTTTTTTCATTATAATTTGCGTTTGCAAGACAGGTATAAAACATTGGCAATTATGCATTACTCTTTTTCTTTTATCTCTTATTTTCCTTGATATTTTTATTTGTCATGCTTTTAATATTTAACTGTGGTCTTTTAGGAGGTGTTGCAAGAAAATGAGTTTTGATCCTATTGATTATGAAAGTATCGATAAAACTGAAGCTTGGATAGTTGACGATGAAGAGAAGGTTGGTGAACTTAATTATGATGAATTGGAGCAAACATTATATGGAGAAGGATCTATTCCTGTTAATGTTGGTGATCACTCTTCTTATTATGATTCAACAGATGTTTCACAAGATTGTTTTCAAAATTTTAAATAATTTCGTAGCTATTTTAAATTAAAGTAGTTTAAAATAGAAGTTTTAACTTATGATTTTCATTTTTTGTTGAAATTTTTGTAGATGATGATGATGATGATGATGATGATGATGATGATGATCAGTGAGATGATGGCATGTGAAGTTTAATTAAGTATGGATTGAAGATTATTGGGTGAAGCAAGTATGTTTTTATTTTAAATTTATGTTTAAATTTACACATGTCACAGTGACTTGTACCAGCTATTAAAGTCTTCAAAAGCTTCCCATTTAATGGGTTTTTGGTCTTTTTGACTTTGTACTTTGTTGTTTCTAGGAACAATAATTTTAGTAGACAGGTTAGGTTTAGGTTTAATACTAGGCAGGAAAATTTGAGAAATTGAATAGGAAAATTGTTTAATGGCCTGGCATGTGATGACATTGTGTATCCGTAACCCATTTAAACCTGAATCCAAATTCTATAACATGAATTGGTAACTCTAATTTGGGAGAGTTTTGGTGCCCGAGTTTAGAGAATGTTTTGCAAGAAAGTGGGGACATTAGTAGAGAGAACCAGATTATCAGTTGTTGCATATTGCAATCTGAATATCTTGCTGATGTACATCCTTAATCTGTATCATTTAGACAAGCAGAAGTATGCTATCTTTCCTTAAAAATAAATTGTGTTATTATGTGACTTTTTTAATGCAGGTTCTGTGTAGCAGAAGTTCTCCTTGCTCTGTAATGCCTCCATATGCTTGGGATTGTTTACTGGAACCTTAAGCCAGAAAATTTTCTTGCAAGGGAAGATGTACATATAATGCTCTCTGACTTTGATCTTTCCCTTTAATATTTTTGGAATCTTGTCATTTGGTTTTTGAATTTTGTTATTGAATTTGTAATCATTTGTAAACTTATTGTTTGATGGAAGTGTTAAAGGATTTAGCTCTGTATTCAATATTTGTGGTATTGCACAGTTATTGGGATTTATGACGAACCGTTCCACCCAGGACCCGGTCACTCAACTGGGTCATTGACTAGGGTTGGGATTTAAAACCTTAGCTTTTAATCAAACATTAGGTAGTATATGAAATATTTCCTCAATATTACACTTCCCCAATAACTCTTGTATGGGCTACGTGTGTTGATGATACTGTTTTTTCTTTTGACAAACTCATTGCCATAAACCATTAAGATTTTAAAACTTACTCGGTCAAATTTGAATTCGGCTTAATATCATTGATCTCTCTATAGACAAACAAATTCATCTTAAAACTCATCAGCGTAATTTCCTGAATTTCTGGGTCTTGTCACAAAAACCCTCCAAAATCTTGTCAAATAACCCTCATTTTCTTGACAAATTCCTATATCATCTGAATATATGTGCATAAATAAAGAAAAAAAAAAAAAAGAAGTAAAAATGTCAATGCAGAAAATGGACAATATCCTCGACTAGCACTAAACCTTTTATAAGATCTTCCAATTCTACTTTAGAGCTTCTATTGTTTGTGACAAACTTATTCATCAAACTATTCTTACTTTTACAGTCTCTATAGTCTATACAAGTCCAAGAACTCAAAAAAAAAAAAAAAAAAAAAGTGTTTTTTTATTCTACATGTATGAACAAAAGGTAAGAAAGATATCCTCTGGAAATTTATACATGTTTCGCTTCCCTAGAGATCCATTGATTAACAGCACACATACAAGAATCCTTTTCAAGAATCCAGAGGTCTTCAACCCATGATTCTACCTCATGAATTTGCAGGATAGGTGCAATGGCTATATTCGTATATACAAATACTTGCATGGTCAATGTACAGAATTTGAGGCGCGCTAGTAACCTAACCATGTAGATGGAATTGGCTGAAACTTGTTCTTAGCACATGCCAACACATCATAGTAATCCACATGATTGAAGCAGTCGCGAAAATCTGTGAAGAGCTTTTCATAAACTCTCCATTGCACTTTGTTTGATCGTGAATATGGGTATGGAAGAAAAACCTGCATATAAATAGAGGAGTCAGAATATAATACAGCTGCAAGCAAAAATCTAGTTATCTTTTCACTTTCTTTTTTCTCCAGCAAATAATCACAAATGAACATCATAAAGTTTTGCAGAGTCCTGTGTCAACTTATGTTATGATTATCAATGTAAGGTCATAATTTTGCCTAGCACTTAGATCAGATTTAACAAAACTAAATTCTAACTCATGTACTTGTCGTTCTCTTTCCTTACGTACATACACACACACACACACACACACACACACATATATATATATATATATATATATATACACACACACACACAAAGAACGAGAAACATATATGTCCGTGAGTAAGCATTTGCCATCTGTTGTTTGTGTTTGAAGGTTTCAGTAATCTTATTACTCTCACTACAAAGTAAAAAGAAAAAGGTTTTTGAATCCCAGCTTACATCTCCCTCTAGCGCAAGTCGTTTGAGTACACAAAATGTTTGCTCATTTTCCTCCAAATTGTCAAGAACAGCCAGCCAGATCTGTGAAGCAAGCTCATGTGCCATGTCTCTTGATTTGCCACAAGCGATAAACTGATCTGCCAAAGCTCAAACTGAATCCCATCAGGAGATAATTGGAATACTCAAGTACAGGAAGCTCTAAGGACAAGGGATTGCTCAATCATCAATAGAATGACATGAGATAAAAAGCTCACATATAGCATAGAAAATCAGGGATTACAATTTCAGCTTTTTCTAATATTAGTTGTGAACACAAAGTTTCACCATGGATTTGGAGCCTCCAAATTCAGGTTCACATAAACTTATGGTAAACACATGTTAGCAAGGAAAATCCTTAAAATTGGATACTAATATAGTTGGTACAAAAGAATGGGTGCATGTGCATTATTGAGATATTTACATGATGGGCAAGCCTAAATAACATAAAGGACTGCATTTACCAAAACTACCAGCGAATAGCTTCGGCTCAGCTCATTAAGATGTTCATCCAAGCTTGGTTTGTTAAATCATGAAACCAAGCTCAAACATAGCTCAAGCTCCATTAACCTTAACAAACCGAGCTCAATCAACATCTTGCTCAGTCATATGTTTGAAAATATAAATTATATTGTAAAGGCTTAATTTATTATTTTTACTTTGAATTAAAGCAGTTGTGGTTATATGTTTATATTAAGAGTTTATTACAATTTTCCTCCCAAGGTATCATTAAATAACAATGTCTTCTCTTATGAATCATAAATAAATATTTTTGCTTTTTATCAATAGAGAAAAAACTAGAAGAGTATAATGAGTAATATATCTCTGTTATGGGTGAATTGGAAATTTGGGTGAGAGTGATTTAGGAAAGAATGAAGATAAGGGGTTTAATTAAAGAAAAGTGAAAAATCCCCATGTCTTGTATAAATGTGTCAAGTGACATATCTAATCCAAATACTAAGTAAAGAAACAAAAAGAAAAACTTATTCTTTCTCATGACAAACACTTAACTACAGGTCAGAAAAAGGAAAGGAGAGGAGAAGGAGGAGATGATAAAGAGAAGAAAAAAGAGATATGAGAGAAATTGGATTGAGTTATGGTAGAATCACACTGAATTTCATCAAAGGTAGAGGTACATTTATCTTGAATTTAAATCCTACCTCCACCTTTGATGAATTCTAGCGTTGCTCTTAACATATTTCAAACCAATTTCTCTCTTATATTTTCCTTCCCTTCCTTTTATTCTCTTTCTCTTCTCCTCCTTTTCCTCTCCATTTCTTCTTCTTCGGAGCTAAGTCTTTGTAATCAGAAAATAAAAACTTATCTTTTTGTTTCTTTGCCTTTATATTTGAATAATATATGCCACTTTTCTTTGCAATTAAACCCCTCCTATATCCATTATTTCCTTAATCACCTTCACTAAAATTTCCAATTCATCCATAACGAAGATATATTACCTATTATACCTTTCTAACCTTTTTTTTTTTTTCCATTTAAAAAAAAATGATTAATATAAGGGAATATTCTTCACTAATTTTAATTCCCAAAAATGTCAAGATTTTATTTAAAAGATAAATTTTAGGCATAAAATCATGTGATTTAACATAATTACCTTTAATAAAAATAACAAGGAAAAAAATAGCCGGAATACACTAAATTACTAAATGTAACACAATCCAGTATCATCTAGTATGCTTTATTTAGACTGTTAAATGCTAGACTGTCGAGCTTGGTATGGTCTAGCATATTCTAGCATTATATGTTAGAGAACATATCCTTTGTCATTTCATTGAAGATATAATTGATAAGTCACTAGATGTTTAAACTAGATTTGTCCTTTAAATAAAACCTTCACATCTTGGGAAATTAAAATTATTGAGTTGGCTACATACGTCCAAACCCCTTAAAGTAACTATATAACCACAACTACTTCAATACAAGTAAAAATGATAAATTAAGCCATTACATATATGTTTTTTCTCATTAATTTTATATGAATGTTTATATTTTATTTCAAGATATTTATTAAATCAAACATAAATAAGTATCTAAAAAGTTCTAAACATATGATGCTGTAATAGATATGGATCATTAGCATGAAACTATAGGTATTTCAAGGGAAAACTATTGCAAATGTCTAACATAGCTTGTTCAAAGATCTAAGTAACCAAGTTTGATAATAATTTTGTCTAACTGATTCAAATATGGCTAAAACTGGATTCAAATTTAACAAAGCAGAGTTGAAGTAGGTAGTGCTCAACTAAACTCATATGCAGTTTGCATTATATAGCAGAAGGGAGGACAATAATCCATTGGAAAAGGAAGTTTTGGCCAAAAACAAATCCATGGAGTCAATACTCAAGTATAGAAATCATTTGATGTAAGAGATAGTAGGTCTAGATGTAATGCTATTAGAATTATTTAACACTTTTATGTTATTTTCATATTATGCTTAAGAGTTTATATTTGTTCCCTTATTTGGGCTATTAGGATTTGTATGTCAGTGCTCAACCACTATTACAAATAGAGCCCTTATCATATTTTGGAACCTAGGCTTGTTAAAGAATATTGAATACTAAAATTTCTTCTCTCCCATGTTTTTTCTCTGCTTCTCCCATTTCTATGTTTTCTTCTATTGATTTCCTCCCTCTTCAATCTCTAAAGTTACTGTTTCCGGTTACCCATCATTATCTATTTCATCTCCAATTAAAAATGCATAACAGTTTAAAAAAAAGGACAAAGAGGAAGGGGAGAACATACCAATTATTGTTCCATGAAGTACTCCTGATGGAGGTGGCATAGTTGAGAGTTCAAGCTGTTCCTTCAAAAACAGGTAAGTGTGGCCCACAATCTCATCTACCTCACCATCCAGGGAAAAAATGTGTGTAGCAACATGCAAAGCTACATATCTCCTGAGAACAGTAAGCCAGACTTAGACTACACTAATCTCACAAAATAATAGCTTAACTGTTAAACATGATAGTAGATGATACAAAACAAACAGAAATATTTGAGTGTGTGCGCATCCCTTCAAATAGATGACTACTCATAACGCGATATACAGCATGTGTTTATATGTTTTGTTACACAGAAGTTTGATAGGACTCCCTGCAACAATTACAATAAAACAGCACAAACAACCCAAAAATAGTAGAGAAAAGAGTTCACCCAATCAAGACTACTGGATTATATTGCTAGAGAATGAAATTAGAGACAACTACACAATAGGAAACCAAAACAGATAGATCCCAGCAATTCGAGGAGCTGGGGGCCTCCCTCAATGACTCTAAAATTATATTCGTATCTTTCCCTAAGACTGACCCCTCTACTTATACTATTTCCTTAACTAACATATTCCCTCTACTAACAACTTTGATTCCCCACCAACACGTGACAGTAGTAACCAATTTCCCCACAAACATGCACCTCATACTCCTAACGACTTACGGCCCCCCAAATGCCCCTTATGCCCTTTGTATTGATAGACATGTTTAATGGGAGGTCTATCAAAGTCACTTCATAAACACAAATAATTGTCCAGAGAACAAGTTACAGAAAGCCGGGAACAAATCCTACTGAATGGAAAAACCAAGTTACAAAACTAAAGGGAGAAGTTATTACTTGAGGTCATGCTGATTTGAGTTGTTGAATTATCATTAAGCAGAAAAGTTTACAATGATTATTAAGGCCTAATAATAGTTCATATGCTCTAACACACTCTCTCACATGTCATCCAGATCAAATATGATTACAAACACAATTATTATAATTCAATAAATAAGTCGGCTGTTTTTAAACACAAAACCACTTGATCAACTTAACTCTAATATTGTTTACCACTAAACCCAACAATTTACGTTCATGCATAAGGATTCAACAATAACATTTAAGATCCAACAGTAGTATGTCAGATAAAAGCTTAATTTACGATGGATAAGTTACTAAACCAGGTTTTTATACAAAAAGCATATATCCTTGATCAGTTACTTATCTTCACCGTGATTTATTTGGCATTCATTTGGAGTATGCATAAACTATGTCTATTTAGAAATACTCTGGTAAAATGATTCCTTCACAGAAACTAACTAATAGAAGAGGAAGAAAATGGGCCAACAAAAATAGACAGATAGGTAAAAGAAAAACACATACTAGGTAACGAAGGAGAGAAAAGTTCAGTTATTCACCTCCTGCTCAATCCTCGAGGAATAGGTCCAGGCCACCTCTTAGCTTGGCCAGCCAAAGGAAAAGCCCTAGTGAGAGCAGCTTGCCACAAACATTCTCCACGAAACAGACTGGCCCAATGCTTTTTAACACAAGATATTTGTGCCCACTCAGACACAGGGACTCGGATGAAAATTTCTATCAGGAGATGATCAGGAAGCTTTCCAAATGAGTTATCAACTGATGTTAAAAAGTCATTATCATCATTACTTGTCATTACAATTCTGCAAAGCAAGAACCAATATACTTTATCATAAGTAAATTATTTTTAAAAATAAAGGGATGAAAAATAACAAAAACACGTACAGAATGAATACAAGATAAAAAAACAGAAGATTTTTAATTTGACAAAAAGGCCAAATAAATTTTCTTGTGCAAGTTCAAATACAGAAAACTGCATTACCTTAATAAATGATGTAGGAGAAGATTTTGACATGTCGCATATCAATTGTTAATCCAACCAGGATAACTTATTTATGAAAAATTATAAGTAGAAAATGGTATATACAAGAAGCATGGAGAATTTACATAAACTCTGGCCACTAATTAAGCAAGTAATGTAGTAATGCACTGGTCCATGTCACAACCATCAACAATTTGAATAGTGATTTAATTCAATGTTAAATTATCACTAAGGAAATTTCTAAGTTATTTTCCCCTAATAATAAACAAATCCTTAGAAAGGGAGTAGAATGCTTCCCATAACTACTTTGGGATGAACAGCAGTCGTGAAAGCAATTAACATATCCTTCTGCAGCTAGTTGATTACTCTGAAATAATGATCTCAAAAAATTTGGATTCAAACAAGTAGTCCATAACGAAGTTGCTAAGGTACATTCATTCATCAAAATTGCAATTCCATGCCTCCATTGTATCATATAACATTTTAAGGCAAAATGCAGGACACAAAGTAAAATCGAATGATTTTGGTGACAATTTGGCTCAAATATAAGACTTAACGACTCTTCTCCATGGCAAGTTTACAACATCTTCACCACTTGTCCCACTCAAATGATAGAGCTGTTTTCAAAACTATATGATACAGGAATTTCAATTTTCATAAATTTAAAATAAAATAAAAGCACTACTGAGCAAGTGTGGCCTACGATGGTTCTATCACTTATAGCTAAGCAATGATGCAAGAAGTACAAACATAATTGTTCAAGAAGAACGCTTTGAATCCCCAAAAGTAAGCAAAACGGAGCATACTAGCACAACACAGTAAAAAATACAAGAATAAAAAAGAAAAAAGAAAAAAGAAGGCAGGTGTAAACAATACTAAACAGTTGAATTTCAGACTTACTAGCTAAGAATTCACACAATATCCAAAATACCAAGTTTCATATCTCATTTTTTTCATCGAAATTCAACAACTCAATATTTAGCAATTCTAAGTAGTTTCACATTGCAAACACAAAATTCCAAGAAAAACAGCCATTGATCAAAGAGCTTATCAAGTTAAGGAGAAATTAATATACTACATAACCCACGAACACACTCATAATAATACACTAAACCCATGTTTTATTTCATCAAAAAGAACTGAAAACTACTCAAATGACTACCAAGAACACCTAAAATAATCAAAATTAAAACAAATAAAAATAAAACCCAACTGTCTTTCATCCTAACCAATTCAGTTCAACTAAAATATTTTCAAGAAAATGGGTTTTCTTTTCGTTTTTCCCTTCTTTTGCTAAGTAACGGAAGAGTAAATCATGAACAGAACAAAGATAACATATAGAAATCAAAGGCAAAGTAAAAGAACATGAATTTAATCCAAACCCACAAATTAACAACAAATAATAATGAAGAAAACAAGCAAAAGAACGAAATTTGATATACCTGAGAGAGAGAGATTAGAAGAATTAGGAAAGAGCGTTTTGTTGAGTTTTCAGTTGAGAGTTGAAGAGTCTGTGAATAAAGAGAAGAGAATAATAGTTGAGGAGCTGAACTGAATGTGTTTGATGTGATCACTTGAGGTCTTTATTTTCTTTGTCCTAAAAGGCGAAACAAATAAATAGATAATAATTTATTTATTATTTCAAAGAAGGATAAATAAATTATAATTTTATTCAGATAGATTAGAAGTTTAATAATGGTTTTGATTATTATCATTCACACAGGACACATTTTAAAAATAAATAAATAAATAAAATACAAATGATTTAAAATAGTAAAAGTTGTGTTTGAAATTATTCGGAGTAGAGACATTTTTAATGTTTAATTTTTTCTTTTTCTTTTATTTGGTGTGTGCCAACCTTTTATTATTATTTTTATTTCAAAATAAAAACGTTATATTTGAAAACTATAGTATTGTATTGTATTCTTAATGAATAATGCTGTATTTACGCCACTCTTTTACACCATTTTCATTATATCATGATGTGACATATGTCATAACCATACAAATTCTATTATAATATTAAAAATACAAAATAATTAAAAATTTGTATGGTTATAACATATGCCACATCATGATATAATGAAAATGGTGTAAAAAAGTAGTGTAAATATATCATTACTCATTCTTAATATTTTGTTATATTAGAAATACAATAATACTATATTTACAAAGAAATCTTACAAAGATTTCCATATAAAATGAGGTGGCAAAATATGAATGAAAGAGTGAAACAAAAAGTCAAACTCACTAAATTCACTATTCCATTCATTTTTTGCCACATCACTTTGTATGGAGGTCTTTGTAAAATTTCTTTGTAAGTGTAATATTACTCTTAGAAATACTCTATAATAACATTTTATATAATATGGTGTTTGGTGGATCATAGTAATTGTATTAATTTATATTTTTTCAATTAAAATTTTAAATCAGTTCTTTAAATTTAATAGTTCTTTACAAAACTTTTATTTATTTATTTATCATTCATATAAGCTTCAGGGTTAATTCCAGCCGCCCAAGATATTATTAAAAACTATTAAAAACATCCCTACCGTCAAAGACGTCGTTCACTTTATTCATATGAAAAATAGTCAATGATTGTGGGTGTGTTCTTTTATAAATTATATATATCTATTTTTTTGTTTTTTTTGAAAATATTGAAAATGATTGGAAAAAGCAAAAAATGAAAACGTGTTCAGTATATTTGCCTAAACACAGTGTTAAAAAAATGCAAAAAATGAAAATGCATGTCAACATGTTTATCTAAAAACACAAAATGTGAACATATGAAAAATATGAAATTTATCATCTACATAACTGGTAAAACCCTTTCACATACAAGCTTATCTTAAATATATGAATTTGTGTTAAAATTTTTTATTTAAAATAAAAGTTATTGTTTTAAAAGAGAGAAAATAAAATATAACAGAAGAAAAAGAATAAATATATTTATTTTTCAAAATCTTAAACTTTTAATATAAAACGCGTTATTCTACGTCTCTCTTTCCAGCTTTTAATATAAAATTGTGTAATCGATGACATTTGATATTCATCGGTGTTGTGATGCAAACACAATAGTTCATTAAGATTAAACAGAAAGAAGGCAACTGTAATAATTGTCAAGTTCACGCTAGAAGAAAAGAGTTGGATTAATTCGAGGAAATCCATAGCCTCCAATGCTCACTAATTGCAACTGTTTCGATACTTTTCTCATCAACATGAAAGACTTAAATATAATTGGAAATAACAACCGACCAGATCACAAAGACTCAACCCATAAAAATAGCATAAATACGACGCTGATATTCAGTTAACAACCCAACCTGAAGACCTATTCTTAAGCCAAAATACTTGGCTGTGAATCAACGGATTAAGAACAAGTCTTAACCTGATGCCCATCTACAGTTATTGGACCCACATAATCAAACTAATCAAACTCAACTGGACTCTGAACTCTACTAGATTAAATAATAAGCAACCAACAACTAGGCCCCACGTGCACATGACATTGACCACCCCCGCCCCCCCCCCCCCCCCCCCCCCCCACCAAAAAAAAAAAAAATGACTTTGTCCACAAGGTTTGGAAATTTGTTCTAAGTTAGAATATTCCACCCAAGATGCTTCCTCTTCACCGAGCCCCTTCCATTTCACCAATACTTCGGTCACCGCATGATTTTTTTTCTTCTTCAACCTCTTGTGCAATATTTCTTCTGGTTCTTGTCGAATGATTCCATCCTTGTCTATTGGTGGAAGAGTAACAAGCCGCTGGTGTCTTTCTCCCAACTTCTTCTTTAAGCAAGAGACGTGAAACACCAGATGTATCCTTGCCTTAGGAGGGAGCTCAAGCCGATAAGCAACAATACCGAGCTTCTCCAGCACTCGATATGGACCAGAGAATGTTGGAGATAATTTCAAATTCCTTCTTTACACCACTGACTACTGCTTGTACAGTTGTAATTGAAGGTAAACCAAATCTCCAATATTGAAGCTTCTTTCAGTCCTCTTAATATCTACAAATTTTTTCATTCTGTCTTGTGCCAACAGTAGATTTGAACGAAGGATGCGGATGATTTCATCTCTAGTCTTCAAGGTATTTTTTACTTCTTGGAGTTGTGTAGTTCTTGGCGTATAAGGAATTAATTTTGGGGGCGGGTAGCCATAGACAGATTCAAAAGGAGATAATTTGGTAGAGGCATGAACGTTGGTGTCGTACCACCACTCAGCCAACGGAAGCCATTTAACCCATCCTTTTGGCTTGTCCCTCGAGAAACACCTAAGATATTGCTCAACCATCTTGTTGACAATCTTTGTCTGGCCATCCGTTTGAGGATGGTAAGTTGATGAAAATTTCAAAGTGGTTCCCTATAGCTTAAAGAGCTCCTTCCAAAATGTACTCGTAAAAGTAGGATCTCTATCAGTATGTAATAGCTTCTTTTCTACTAGTATACTTAGAAAATATACTATAATAAAAAAACATAAATATCAAATGAAAAGTAAATGGGCCTAAAATTTTTCTTTACTTATAAATATAATTCTTTACAAACAAAACAATATATACAGTAACTTTGATAAAAGTGGACAATTGTGCCATTTCTTTCCGCTTCTCAACGTCCATCCGACCGCTTCTCACCTATTTCCTGCAAAACATGGAAACAACAACGAGTGAGCATAAATTGCTCAGTAAGTAAATCCTCTACTCTTTTATCCCTATGACTTACTCTTGGGTTCTTTCCTTACTCTATTCTTTCTCCTCTTCATTATCTCTTTGTTCTTTCTCTTTTCTTTCACTGTTTCTAGTTCTCACTGTTCTTTTCTTTCTTTCTTATTCTCACTAACCATGATGAGAATTCATAGTAACATGCATGGATAAGATGCACATGCAGTAATGCATACAAATGCATTTTTTCTTTCTTCTTTTCTATTTCTTATACTGTTTTTTTTCTTTTCTTTTCTTTTCTTTTCTTGCTTGCTCAAGCTCTTCTCTTCTTTTCTTTCTTGCTCATGCTTTCTTATTCTTTCTCATTCTCATTCTTTCTTCTTATTCTTTCTTTCTTTTCTTTTCTTTGCTAACTGGACTCTGTTGATGCATGGATTCGAAACCCGGCCGTGTGAGTGAGTACAATCCTCATCTACATGCATTCTTGCGGACTGTACAAATTCTTTCTTCTTCTTAGGCCACTCAATTAAGGTGGCGTGCATGTAAGAAATTCTTCTTGATACAGCCCTCATCTACATACAGGCCGTACAAATTTTTCTTCTTTTTAGGCCACTTACTTGAGGCGGCGTGTATGTGAGAATTTCTTCTTCTTGTCACCAACGGGTTCCCCATCACAACAACCTATTCTTTTCTCTTCTTTAGCACTTTTCTTTATTTATTTCTTTAGTGCTTTTCTTTCTTTCTCTTTATTCTTAAAACTCTTTATTCTTTCTTTAAATTCTTATGCATATGCAAATATTTGCATGTGGATAGCTCATGGTTATAATTCTTTCTTAAGTGCAAACATGTAATGCAAATATGTAATGTTGCACAAAATTAAGTTTTCGCTACTCATGCATATGCTTCTCTTAGGCATTTCATCAAACAACAAGCATGCATACTCAATTTCTACTTTTGGTAAAGTTCCAATTCTTTCTTAAACCATCCATTCTTGGAGTAAAACTCCTCTATAACAAAGCTAAACCTGGCCAGGAAATACAGTTCAAATATTCTACTCAAATTCTTTCTAAAATTCAGCCAAACTTCACTTGGCCACCATAATATCAACTCTACTCTTCATGGCTCAAATCTACTAATCAAAAGCCATCTACTCATCAACAACATCATTCTCAATAGTCAATCTCAAACTCATAAGCATATACATGCATATCACATCATTTGATTACTTAAATCTTAGCTTAGGTTGGATTTACTTACCTTAATGCTTGAGTAGTTCCACAAAAAAACTCTCTATCTTTGGTAGACTTATTCTTTCTCTCAAACCCTTTGATGCCTAGGATTAACTCTCTACCAAAATCGAACCAAAAAGCCCTCTTCCTTGGAAATTTGATGAAGAGATGAGAGAAATACAAAGTGGAAGTGGTGTGTGGGGTGTAGAGAATGGAAGGGTTTGCAATATTAAACCCTTAATATCTCATATAAACAATCATCGTTTCCCATTTTGCCCTTACACTTTCTTGATAATTCCACCTTGCCCTTTAATTCTTTACAATTACACCCCCATCTCCAATGCATTATCTATGAAATTTTCTTACTTTTCTATCCCCACTTTTCTTGCTAATTAGGGGTAGAATGGTCACTTTACCCCTATGAAAAATACTCTAGAAACTTCTCAAGAAATTCAGCCAGCTCTTCGCCCTGGTGAAGATTTTTCTTCACCTAAGCGAAAAATTACAGAGCGTACGTTGCCACGACGAGCCTTTTTCTTCATCGTGGCAAAGTATGAAATTCACAACTTCGCCAATCCTTCACCAAAATCAGGGCATCCAAGCAACTTTAACAACTTACAAACTTAACCAAGGGTAACCAATCAACAATATAAACACATACGTTTAACTAAGGGCCAACAAACAATAT